AGAAGTAGTTTTTATGTCCCAAATGATTATAGTTTTACTTTTACAAAGCTTTTGTATCTATAAACTTTCTTTGACGTAACCAAGCTGTGAAGAAACATCAGTTTGGTTTTCCATATTGCCTGGTTTAGTTGGGTTTGTGTTACCAAACCCAAGCATATGAATAAAATTAGGGATACGTCGACAAGACTGTTTATGGCAGTTGTAGGACCTTCGGGATCAGGAAAAACATAACTAATTTTCAAATTATTGAAAGGGAGAACTTTTTATCCCAAATTTGGAAGAATATTCTTTTTTTACAAAGATATTCAACCTATACTTAGGGACGAGTTAAACGCTTGCAGAATTCAAATAGAATTTGTCAAGTTTGATGGATTTGATCGTTTGAGAAACATTGAAAACATTCTGTTAGTGTTTGATGACTCATGCGTAGAAACATACAATGATAAAGAATTCGTTAAACTAGCAACAACAGGAAGACACAAAGGCTTAGATGTTACTTATGTCAAACATAATTTATTCCATCAAAGTCGATAGTCACGAACTAATGATTTGAATACATCTCCCATCATTTTATTCAAATCACCTCGTGATATTTAGCAATTTGATCACCTCGGAAGACAACTTAATGCACCTAAATTTTTACGACAGTCGTATGAATTGGCTACAAAGGACAGATTTGGACATCTATTAATAGATTTAGATCCCCGAACATCAGACTGTCTCAGATACTGTTCAAACATAATACCACCTGGTCCGTCACTTTTCTATTTACCATTAGATAAGGCAGAAGTGACACCCATCACAAATGAACGCAAAAAAATTATCTATTCTGCAGCACATGGTACTGAATCCAATTGAATCCAATTGAATCCAAGTCAACTACGGAGCTTCATTAGAAAATCATCAAAAGTCCAGTTATATCAGTCGTTTGTGAATGCTTGCTCACTGTAGTCAACGGTAATGAGCCTGTTGTTTTTCCAAATCTTATTAATTTCGAAGAAAATTATAAGATTCTAATGAATCCAAAACTGAGTCTCGAAAAAAAATCAGCTGATTTTATCTAATCAGACATATACTTTATTTTTTCTTCACAGCATAAAAATGACAGTACAAGAGTTTGTTCTGATTCCGAAGCATAACATGCAGCGCAAAGAGAACAATACCATGCAGCGCAAATTTTGCTTGACAACTCTATCAAACATAAAAAACCACAACTAACATACTTGACTCATTTAAGACCCCTAAAAGCAACAACAACAACTAATCCTCCAGTTATACCAACACCCGAAACACTTATCAATGCCACAGCAGACAACAATCAACAAGAACAAGCTCTTCTTTTCAATGAAGATGAGGGAAATGAACTGGAAACAAGTACTGAGCCCAATGACGCCTTATCCACTGAACTTATTACGTTACAATTGCAACTCATGGACGAAAACAAACTTAGGTGAGCAAAAAAAATTCTGGAAATTATTCAAAAGTCAGAGCGAGTCACAATAAACAAAGAAAATGAAGAGCTTTACGTTGATAAAGTTCCAATCGGTCTTAAGGCATCAATTTTTTTTGTATGATATACAGCAGCAAACTAAAAAATTGCCCAACCCTGCTTTCATACTGATTTTGAGGTCTCTCAAACTTGACGAACAGTTGGTTATGAACAAGTATGCCATGGTCCCGGTTCAGTCAACGACTACGGAACAAGCTCAACAGAGGCAAAGATGCAGAGGTCCCACAAACTTCCCTTCAATATCTACACCCCTCCTTTCTCCCAAGAAACCGTCGTCAACAAGTTCCAGCTCAAAAAGCATTAAAAGACGTAAAACCAGAAGGACTGTTGCAGACAGAGAAAGAGAACGGTCAGCGCAAAAAACCAAACGAGAAGAAGGCGCAGAAGAAGAAGACTCTGATTTTTACGGAAAGCCCGATAGCGATTCAGATTCTGCAACGACAGGGAAGACGAAGACAAAAACAGAAAATGGCAAGGTTACACCAGCTGAAGAGAAATTATTGAAAACTAAATTTACAAGTAAAGGTCCAGCATTGTTTGGCAGTGTACAGATTTTAAAAGAGGAATCAAAAATTTCACGAAAGTGAAATATTTTTTATATACAGAGCCTGCATATACAGAATATCGACCAGTTCGTCGCAAAACACCACGCCTCAAAGTGATACTTTATGACATAGACAAAATATGGTCAAATGACCTAGCGTATGTTGATAAACTTGCAGATTACAACAAAAACATTAAATATCTTATGGTTGCAATGGATTGCATGTCCCACTATATACGTGTACAACCATTGAAATCGAAGTATGCTTCCTCAACTGCGAAAGCATTCAAACAAATGATAAAAACAAAACAGCCACAAAAAATCTGGGGAGATGAAGGCACAAAGCTCAAGGGGTCAATCAAAATTTTTATATTTATGTGAGAAAAAAGGCATCAAAAAAACAGTGTGAGAAAATATCCGCTCTGCTGAGAGGAACATTTGTTCAATAAAGAGCTTGACTTATAAGTATTTGGAGGCCAAATGGACCTACTCCTACATCGATAAGCTTCAAGATTTTGTCAACACAACAAATTGAGAACAAACCGCGTCATAAATCTAGCCCCCAACAAAGTGACAAAAAAGGATATTCCCCGTCTAATTTCATTAAGAGCAGAAAAATCATTGAAACTAGTTCGCCGACCAAAGCTCTACGTTGTCAATTTTTTGAGAATAGCAAAAATTGATATCCCTTTTCGAAAATGTTATAAAAATTCCTTCACTGACGAAGTTTTTGAAATTTTTGACATACCAGCAGGGAACCAACGACTTATAATCTTATCTTCGCTGATAGAGAACCAATAGAGGGTAAATTTTATGAGCTCGAACTAATCAGAGCATTGGAAAAGGAAGGGTCAAGCTAAACAATGTCTAGCAACTTTGGAGGTGACAAATATTCCTTTAGTATTACATTGATGTGATCAGCCTCAATTAATATCTTCATTGACAACTCACTAGCGAGTTTTAAAAATCTGCTGAGTGAAGATATCGATCTGCAAGGCGATCCTAAAGTGGCAAAAGATAAAATATTTAGACCATATAATGGAGAGAAAATTGAAATAACAAAAAGTGAATACGACGAAATTGTGAAATTATTCAACGAAATCAATCGGAAAGTTGATCTTGATATTTTCAGTTGTAGCATCGACCCCATTACCAAACATGTTTCAATTTGGATGCATTATTGGGAAGGTATTACCTTTGAGAGCCCACAATTTCCTAGTGTTTTAGGTTTCAAAGGTATAAGACTTTGAATGGGCTACCATATCGGCTATAAAGAATTCAGTCATATCCATAGCACTCTCACATCGCAAAACCTCATTTCCAACTACCCTGTTGATATCACTGCTGAAAATCAATTGATGTTTATCTACTTGGATATAATCCATCATCAGATTGTGGGTGACATCAAAGCACCATTGCTCAGAGTCATTGATACTAATCGACGAGTGAAAAACGGTTACGTTTGCAGCATTGAACCAAATCATTTTTAGCAACTTAGATTATAAAACACTCCTCGTGAATAACATCCAGAGCAATGAGGTAAAACTACAAACAGAAAGCGGTAGACTTGTACCGTTTGTGGGAGGAGGCGAAGAAGTTGTTTTGACGTTAAAATTTCAAAATTTTTCTGATTAAGATTATGGAGGCATACTATCATAACCAAGCAACCATGCCTCACTTCTCAAGAAATTACTGACAGCGGGGTAGTGGCTTCGGTGCTCTGGCTATGGGTATTGGACGAGAAGCACTTCTGTTAGCTCGGAAATTTATAGTAATAGCAGCAAAACGTATTGAAAAAGAACTACTTGTTCAAGCAGCACCCGAATTAATAAATATAGCAACCAAGAAGAAACCGCCCAAACAAGCCTTGAAAAACACGGTAAAAAACACAATCAACAAACAAGTTGGAACTGGACGCAGCATGTCCCTTATGAGCAGAAAAGGGAAGACAGCAACAACAACAACAACAACAACAACAAGAAAAAGAAAAACGAAAGTTCTCATTCCAAAGAAACGAACTCCACTGAGAAGTCGCCCCAATTTTTTCACCAAAGTACGAAATGATTTCTAATTTATTACCAGCTGAAGCAACTCACAGCTCGTTAGATTTGTTTGAAAAACCTCCTCTACTCTTCACATTTGAAAATGCATTCACTCAAAAAATTGGTCTATCTTATTCACCTGATGGTCCCATGCTCGAATTTGACGTTTTAGGAGATAAAAACAACTTTATCGATCTTCAACGAGCTCGGTTGGAGATTGTAGCACGTATTGTGCAAAACAATGGTAATGTACTGCGAACTCATTCTACAGAGGCAGCACAACGAGACACCCCATATTTGGTTAATAATCCCCTTTCATCTTTATTTTCCGGATGCACAATGTCTCTAAATGGACAAAAAATTTCAACAACTAATGCTAATTTTGCCCAAAAGAGTTTCATTGAGACCGAATTGTCACACGGTAATGATGCAAAGAAAACAAGGCTCGCTTGTCAAGGTTATCAATATGAAAATAATCCACCAGGTATTGATGGTGCCAATGGGCGAGCTGAAGATGTTGCGGGACGCAAGCGAATCGTAGCTGCGTCAAGCGAATTCCGTCTATTTGGTAAAATTGCTTGTGATATTTTATCATGTGACAAACATCTTATCAGCGGTGTTACAATAAGACTTTCTCTGAGACGATCTGCTAATGACTTTGTTATCATGTCCGAACACAGAGATAAACATTACCGAAATGAATCACTGAGGCTAACCTTTATGTGCGCAAAATGACAGTAACCGACTTTGTTCTATCGTCGATAGAAAAAACTCTGTTGAAAACCTACGCAATTTACAATTATATTGAAGTTTTACCAAGAAGTTTTTTGGCCACAACTGGTGTGCAAAGCTGGCGAAAGAAGATATTTTAACCAAAGAGCCAGTTCGCCGAATGATTTTGGCAATGAGCTCGAATACAGCATACCTGGAAACTAACCGAACAAACCCGTTTCATTATCACAAACTTCAGCTGAATGAAATCATTCTTCACCGAAACGGTCTACCCATTGCAGGTACTCCTGTGTCAACGACTGATAACAAAAGAAAATACTATAACACATTGGAAGCTCTAGACTTTGTTTTTAACAATAGTCATGGAATCAGTTTGGTTAATTATCATAATCTTTATATTATGGCATTTTATCTCACATCTACTCCAGAGGCTTCACATGACTTTATTCATCTTGAATTGACCGATTGCACCATTTCAGTAGAACTGAAGTTTAATGCACTGCTGGGGGAAAATGTGGAGTTACTTTTAATGGGGAGTGTGCATCAACAGTTTACGTGCGTTCCGATAGAAAAATAGCTAAGACACTCTCATGAATTGCATCGGAAAAAATGAACAATCAACAGATTACTGAGCCAATTAACTGATGCAAGCATTTGAACCATCGATTTAGAGATATTTTTCCAGCTAACTTAGCATTGAGAACAATATAAAAACGCGACAAAATTTTCATGATAGTGAACGCATCCAACTCAGACCAGCCAGGAACTCACTGGCTACTATTCACTCAAGCTGGTGGTCAAATTTTCTGGGCAGATCTTCTTGGACAAGGTCTATACAATTATACCCATGTTTACAAATACATAAGATATTCTATTCATGAGGGAAACCATATAGTGATGAACAAGCCAATCCAATCAGCTAACTCGGTCTTGTGTGAATTTTATTGTTTTTATGTTGATCAAGTTATACTTTCATTCAAATTTTCTATAGATTTCAAAGTAAACGAGCATGACATGATGCGTTTCGCTAAGAATATGATTTCTAAAATTGTGATAGTGATGTTTTTCTATAATGATTAATAATTGAGTTTTTTCCAAACATTTTTTTTGTTTTTTTTTGGCTAAAACACTTGCCTCTGGCTTTATCGCAGGCTCGAAAATCGTTTTCAAAATTTAAGTTTTTTTTTCATTATAAATTTAACAAACAAAGTATTTGAATCAATCTCTAAACGACCATACCCACTCAAAATAATATCAATAATTTTAGAAAACTCGGCGGCATTATCACCATTCAAAATATTAATGAAGCGTTTGAAGGGATCAAGTTTGTGAAGCAAAGCAAACTTGTGGCAATCTTCTCCGTAGAGAAGCTCCACCAATGTCAGTTGAGTTGTTAATAGATTTGTTGTAGTTGACAGCAATTTTTAACTTTTCCATCAGGGGTCCCGATAGGTGAAATTTACTGCAACCCCATACTAGATGTTTGAAAGATGAGAATAGAGAAGGTACAACGAAAGTGGTTGAAGTCATCTTGTTCACTACGTCGACACAATCATTTGTTACTTCGATCAGAACATGGATGTGGGGAGGGGAATTGTCGAGCAATTGGGCGCAATACTCGTTGTGAATTGAACGGGTTGCAAATACAAAATTTGTGTTTAGAGGGAGTTGTGAGGCGTCGGGTTCAATATTCAGAATAAAAAACTTAAAAATCTTTCGAATTTTTTTTTTAATTCAGGCGATTGCTCATACATTGGTTCAACCATTCTGCTGGTTAAATCAAATTATTCAATCGTTTTTTTTCTGTTTCAGGCAACTCTAACTTTTTTTATGATTCGAGTATTCATCATCCGCCTCGTTTTCATCACCACTTTCAGCACATTTTTTTCGGGACGGACTGATTGTTTTGACGTTTATCGTCTTTTATGATGTTTATCATTTACAGCTGAGGATGAGGAGGAGGAGGAGGAGGAGGAGGAATTGGCGACACGGCAGTGGATGTGAGCGGAGTGAGGTTCGTGGCCACGTACCAACCTCTGTGGGATGGACAAACGGACGATTTCGCCAGATACAGAGAGGAATTGGAAGATATGTTGATAACCCAGAACCTCTTGGTGATCGGCGGGGACTTCAACTCCAGCGTGGGGGACACCAGAGAACGGAGCAGAGACACAGTCGCAGGGAAGTTCGGGCTGGGCAAGACGAATACTGCAGGAGTGGACCTGATCGAGTGGTGCCACGCCAACCAGTTAGCGTGGGTGAACTCGTTCTTCCAACACAAGAACAGAGGAACGTGGAAAAACCCGGCGAACGGAAGCTGGCACGAGCTAGACGGCTTTTTGGTTAAGCAGAAGGAGAGAAGCCGAAGAGTCGTCAACGTCAGCACGTTGGGAGTGAACAAACTGAGCGACCACCGGGCGAAAAGGATGACCTGTAATCTGGAAGACAAGAAGAAGCGCCACCACGGTTCGACGAAGGTCCAGCGCAGACGGACGGTGGATTGGGACAAGCTGAAGATCCCAGAAGTGGCAGCGAAATTCCGAGAGAAAATCGAGAACCCGGAGGATTCAGTGGAAGACTGGAACGACGCGATGAAGCTGTTTGAGAAAGCGGGAAATCTAGCCTGTGGTTCCAAAGCGAAACGGAACTTGAGCCCGTGCCTAGATACTCACCTGGAAGAGATCGACAACTTTCAGAACCTTATCACTCGACTTACCCAGGAAATGAACAACAACATCCCGACAGCGACAGAAGAACGGAAGACGGTCAGGAAAGACTACAAAAAAGCGAAGAAACGGTGGGAAGAAGAGTGGTGGATGGAAATTGTCGAAGACGCGAGGAAGGCAGAACTCCAAGGTGACATCGGGACGCTGTACAAGACGCTGAAGCGTATTGGAATCAGAGACAACTGCACCTTTGAAGACGAAACCTTCAGCCCCGAAGAGTTCCGAAGTCACTTTATGAAAGTATCAGAGAACAGATACGAAAGAGGACGAGACGAGATCGTTAGGACCCTGGAAGAGATCCCCGAGCGCACCGACCAGACAGCACTAGAAGCGGCCATTGAACTGGAGAGAGTGGTCACGTGGAGCGAGTTTGAAACAGAGTTGGCCAAGATAAGGGATGAAGCACCAGGGAACGACGGAGTTCGGATGCTAGCAGTAAAGGTGGCCAGCAAACCAATTAAGCAGGAGCTCCACAGAATGATTGGGCAGTTGATAGACATGAAACCGGAGGACTGGCCAGAAGAAATAAAGGAAGGCTGGGTCATTTCCCTGCACAAGAAAGGTCCCAAGAACGACCTGGGCAACTACCGTGGAGTGTGCCTGTTACCACTGGCAAGCAGACTGATCGCACGTATCCTCGCGACGAGACTCCGGACATGGGCAGAAACCATTGGCGCTCTGGACGAGAACCAGAACGGTTTCCGTGGTGGAAGGTCTACGGCTGACGCAACGCAGATCATTATCCGGATGGAAGAAGAAACAAGAAGAGTGTACGGAATGACAGACGAGTGCAACGAGAACCGGCCAGGGGCTGTCCTCCTAGACATCACCAAGGCTTACCCTCGCACCAACAAACCCCTTCTGTGGGGTATGTTAGCCAGATTTGGCATGACGGACAAGGTGCTCGATCTGCTGAAAGGTCTCCATGAAGAAACGCGATACCGGGTGAAAGGAAAGGAAGGTCTAAGCGATGATTGGGCCCCCGCCAGAGGACTCAGAGAGGGGTGCGCAACATCACCTATCCTTTTCAACGTATACCATGCCGAAGCAATAAGAAGAGCGGAAAGAGAACGGAGAAAGGAGGCGGCGGAGAGAGGTCAAGAGTGCGGTCTCACCTGGAGGTGGACACCAGGAGGCAGCCTCCCACCGAGAGAAAGGCCCAGAGCATTGCATAGCAGCAACAAGTGTAATTTCATCCTGGAGGACTCGTTGTTCGCAGACGACACCTCTCTACTTGGTTGGACCGAAGAGCTCGTCATAGGGAAAGAGGTGATCAAGAAGAAAATGATGGAGTTTGAAGAGAAATGCCACGACGGCAAAGAAGAATCCATCACTTTTGCAACTACCAGCGCCCAGAAGACTAGAATGCTGGGAACGCTCATCGGGAAACGAGAAGACCGAGGAGCCAGGATCAAGAGAGGGAACCACGCGTGGAGCAAGGTGAAACAATGGCTCTGGAATTCGAGCCTCTCCAAGCGCACCAGAGCATTGGTGGTCCAAGCCGTAGTGGAGTCCACTCTCCTGTTTGACTGTAGCGTTAGAGCATGGACACCGACCGACATCCAGAAGTTCCAGAGCGTTGCAGACAGAGCCTACATGTTTGTGTGGAACAATGGAAAACCTCACACACTGATAAGGATGCAGAATGAAGGAGTCAACAGCTACGAGACCCGCAGACAGTTGAACATTGAATCGATAAGGACCAAGATCGAGTGCAGAGCATTAGAGCGAATGGGCCACGTTCTCAGAATGTCGGATGAGAGGATTGTGAAGAAAGCTGTGCTCGGATCCTGGGACATGGAGAGGACATGCAGTGGGAACGCGCGAGGCAACACCATCCAGTACTGGCGCAGACTGCTGAAAGAAGCAGGACATGAAGGCGACAACAGCGAGAACCTCACCAATGACCGTAAACGATGGAAGAAGACCGTTACAGATCGCAGGACGTTCCTCAAAAACTGGGAGGCGCAAATGTGCAACTGGCACAGAGGATTGGAAAAACCGGCCCGCTCACAATGGAATAGAGAGAGAATAAGTGACAGCGGTTGGCCTTGCCGCTGGGACGGATGCGACAAGATGTGCGCAACAAAAGGAGGACGGACGAATCACGAGAGAAAAGCACACAGAAGGGAGTCAGTGGACTACAAGTGTCCAAAGTGCAACGACAGTTTTTTGGACCAGGCTGCTCTGACAAACCACTTCAAGGCGTGCCAAGGAGGGCAGGGTGGGTTCTGTCCGAAGTGTCAGAGGTCCTTGTCGTTGAGCAACATGGCAAGACACCGGAGGACCTGTCGAGGAGAACACCCGACAGCCCCAGAAATAACCAACACCATTATCACAGGACGATTCGCCGGAACGAGAGCCAGAATCCAATGCGAAGAATGCGGTACTTGAGTGACAAAAAACAACATTTCAAGACACTGGATCACATGTCCTGGAAACTGGGAATCAAGGCCCCCCACGGGGCGTAAATGACAAAAGAAGAAGAAAGAAGTATTTTCACCAGCTTGTTTTTTAACCATTTTTTAAATCTCGGAATAATTATCTGCCAAACAAAAAAAATCTCTTGTCAATAAGATCACTGCTTGATAGCACTTCAACATACCATCTTCAATCTTTTTATACAACTTTACTGTGATATGTACCCGTTTTGTCAAAAGTTTTCGTTCCAACTTTTTTTCTCCCGAAGATATATCTTGAAATGCATTGTAAAAGTCTATATTTTCTTCTAGCGACGAGTACATAGTGGTGGTGGTAACGGTAGTGACTTCTTGGTTCAACTATTTTATGAGAAAGTGAAATGAATAATGAATTGGGTAGGAGATGAACAAATCTCTGTGGTAAACCTAAGCTCCAAGAGGGAACACCCAATTAGAAATTTATGAGGCATATACACTTTTATTACACCTGTCTTTTTTGTCTGGCACTCCTTAAGTAGCTCGTAAACAGGATATACAATCACGTCGGTACACGTGTAATTCCTTTGATGTGGTCAGCTGCATGCCTTAATGTCTAGGAGGCATATAAAACAGGATTAAGGTTTTTCTTTGAAGTATACTTACTCCGGCCTAATTGGAGGGTTAGAATTATATTTTTCATTATGATTAATCTGATTGCCAGCCAAACATCCAGCCGCACCTTTCTAGCCCACACATTACACTAGCTTTTGCATAAACCTGAGTTGGTTTCCTTTTCTCAATTTTTTTCAACTTTCCGGTCAGAAGCTTTTTTGTCAGATAATTCTAAAGTTGAAATGACTGCTCCTCTACAAATCATTTCGATCTCAGATTATGAGAGAACAGTTATCTACCAATTTTATACGAGAGAATTAGTTGCCGTTGTGCAGCAGCAGAAAGAGAGGCTAGCATCCTCTCCATTCAACTTCCTCGCCGCCAATCAACAATGGCAAGAGTGGTCAACGAAGAGTCATATAATGCTGCCCAACTATGTGCTCGATCACAGTGAACTTCTTTGCCAGGAGCGTAAGCGGATGTATGAAAGCCCTACAACCCAATCCTACCTGGCCCTCGAAAAGACTGAAATAAACGACACGGGATACCTCGAAGAATCACCAAGAAAAATACTTTTTCGGAACCATTGTGACTCCATACCCCTTTACGAGAACCAAGAGGGATCAATTCGCGATTATCCTGAACGCGAGGGTTACTGCGAAATTCAAACAACTATCTCTTCTTCCGATTCTACTGTTCCAGATCAAGTTACTCCAATCTCCTCTGTTTTGGCTTCAGAACTAAGCAGTGGAACACAGATTTCCATCACCCCAGTGGTGGATCTGGCTACTCCTGAAACTCAGCCTGTCAATGCTTGCTACGTACCGAAGAAAAGGAAGATAGAGTTTAAACAGTTCTGAAAACTTAATAAGATTTATTACATTTTCAATCTTGCTGAGTTTTGTGCTGTTCTGAAACTTTTATTGAAAGAATTATCAATTAATGTGTACAAAACTTTGATGGATAATTGACCTCAACGATGAATTAAAGTTTGTTTTGTTCTTTTCAATCAATAAAAAGGAAATAAAAACAAAAGAAAAAATAATAGGAAAAAAATCAAAATAGTTTTAAAAAGTCGGCATAAAAGTTTAAAAATGATATTTTTTGATAAATTTCTCGTCAAATCGAACTTACTTATATCACTTTTCTTTAATGCTCATTTCGAAAAATCGTAAAAGATAAACTGAATACTCATCCCTAGATTTTATCGAATGATGTTAAAACAAAAAACATAAAATGTTATTGTTATAATTTTTCATTATAAATATTAACACAGAAAAAGATAAAGATAGAAAAAGAGAGAATTGGCAATCCATAAACCCCATTAATATCCCTTTTGGGATATAGCTTTTTTAAAAGAAAGCTATTTGTGGATGGGTCCAACAATTCTGCCGGTTAATCAATCATAGTTACCTTTGACTCTTTACACTCTCTATTTTTTCTCTCTCTCTCTAATATTTCTACAGCCTGGTAGGGTTAGCCAGGACTCTTAGGAGTAGACTTTAGAGAGTGTATGAGCCACTATAAAGCATTATATATAACAAAATCACGGGTCTTTAACAGAATTCACGTTTAATAACACTCATTTTAAGGTAAAAATGGTTAAAAAATTCAAAATAAATTTTTTCTTGATTTTTCAACATGGGTTACAACCCTGTCCAATACATTCCGACAAATTGATTGGACCAGGTTTCATTGGATTTGGAGACAAAAAGTTTTTTTTTGTAATTTTTTTTCACGACAGGAATATGTACTGAAATTGAAACCACTCAAATTTTTCACCCGACCTTACAGTGGGCAAGCGCTTCAGAGGTTCCAAATGAATAGCAATGCCGGGTAGTTATTGCCTACTCCATTAATCTTTTGAAGAACTATATGTGAAATTTGTCATAGAATACTAGTTTATTTGAGAAATGAACAAAATTCTCAACTACCATTTATCATGTTTGTCAGGTATGTTTACATGTCTTCCTTGCTTGACTTGATTTGTGGGTTGCCATTTTGGTTGAAACGAAAAACTTGACAAAAAAATTCAAATACATTTTCAATGTTTAGTCAAGTTGACTAAACAGGGAAGTTGATGATAGAAGTGGGTGTCAACATTCACATTCACACACTTTAGGTAAAAGAAATAACATTCCCGGATTGATCCCTTCTTGGAATTGTCAGCTACTCTAAACACAAGTATATATAATATATTTAAAACAGTTGAGTCATTTACGCAAATTCAATTTGACAGTCATTTCATAAAACCATATAAAGCCCAAAACTACAACCACTTCAAAGCCACCGTTGATTTTATGCTTCACCCACGTAATTGAGTTTAATACGGTCTTGATCCATATTTGGTTTTTGAAAAACTTTTCACTTCTCGCTTTTGCTTTGTCAAAATCAGCTTTGGTAAAAAATTGATAAATTTGTTGAAAAGATTTCTTTTTTCCTGAACTCTCAATCTCGAACCAACAATGCCTAACTCAAGTGGAAAACAGAGACCAGTTATTTGTTTGATCTGCTCGAAAGTCTTTAGTTCACCAAGGAGCTTGAGACGCCATGAGCAAAATATCCATAAGATATTCGCAGCCCCACCGCCACCAACTAAATGTGACGAATGTCGAGAATCCTTCAGCTTGCAGGTTTAAGCTAGCGAGCATTTTGAGCTAGCTCACAACGTGTCAACTGATAATCTTTCTATCTACTGTCATACAATCTTCCTATCGGTTGAGAAGTTCCGGCAACATATGTCGAAAAACCATCAACTACCCATTTGGACTCCCGGAAATGAGTTGGGAACATCAACTGCTCCAACTGAGTCTGCATTTAGGGGAAGTTAAAACGTTACGAGTTGAGCGTTGGGGAGGATGAATTGAATCTGATGAATGTGTGCGGTGATAGACGAAAGAGTGCAGGAAGTACCCTGTAAGTTTCAACTGCATGTGGACGTGAGTATGATAAAGTTCTCGAACGATACAAACAAAACTGGTGACGGGGAATTACGCCACGAGAAGACAATGATATATCTGAATTCTAAGATGATCAATGTCTTCTTCAATGGAATCGAGAAAGAGACATATTTGGAAATGATTGAGCATATGGTCAATGCCATCAACACGTTCTCTTCTCACGGCAGCGTTAGGAATAAAGGGTCCTTTCTACTTTCTATCTTAGAAAGTAAATCTAAAATTCGCTGCGAAATATTTTATTAAAAAAGAAGTTAGTATGAATTTACAGCAAGTTGCCTTTTGACTCAATATTTATTTTTTACGGTGAGATTGGAGATATTCTCTCTGAGATTGAATACTATTTTAGAGAAGGGTTGGGGTGGTTGAGGAGAGTGGTGGTGGTGGTAGAAGAGAAGTTGTTGGAATGAATTCCCGTAGTTTTGAGCTTCTATTTATACTCAAATGGGAAAAATCACGCCACTTTTCGTATCAAATGAGAAGTTTCTTTTAACTTCGTATTCTTTATTCGTACATTCGTATTTTACGAGAAGAAGGTTTCGTATGCTCGTACTTTACGAGAGGAATCGTTATTATTCGTATTGAATGAGAATAGTCGTTTCAATTCTCAATGCTTAAAACGTTATACGAATTATTCCAATAGCATTTCCCTTCCTTTTGCAAGGGAATAAAAACATATTTCTTTGGTGGTGGCGGCGGCGTCACATTTTGTGAACGCAATAAAATAATTCATGTTTCTGTTTCTATTTGAAATCAGAACATATCCATCCTCCTATTTGGAGAAGGAAAAAACTAAAACTTTCATTTTTATTACTTTCACTTGAATAGTGGGGTAATTGTTGATCGATCGAAGCTTTTTCTTTCAATCTCATAAAGTTTTGTTGGTATTACGGGTAGCAGATGTTTTTGAACAAAAGCTTTTTCTTTCAATCTCATAAAGTTGGTTAGTAGTTTATTGGTATTACAGGTAGCAGATGTTTTTAATCAACTGATACTTTGAGTCAGGCTTGAATAAATATAAATACATCAGTTACATTTATAAATCAAAATAGAGTTTACACAACCAAGGGATTTAACTATAAAATTAAATACATCAAAATTATCTGTTTCTCAAAAGTTTGAAGGTTAGTTTTATTCCTTGAACATTCTTTTTCCGAAGTCTCCTTTTTTTCTGAAGTATGTGAAGTAGATGTCCATACGCGTAATAAGGGGAGGACTGGTTCATACAAAGGGGGTATTTTTGTGTTTTTTGTTTTTTATAAAAGTCAAAATTGTTGAGAAAGGAAATCAATAGCTATACTACATAGCTATATAAAGCGAAAGAATAAATGTTTAAATAAAAGGATAAATTTTTACAATTTTCCTTCCAACCGGGCTATAAGTTGGTGAGTTTTTGTTTTCAAATAGTGGATTTGCTTTTTCAGCT